TGTTCTTATGCAGGGTCTCCACTTCCGCAGGCTTTCTGTTTGAAAGTTGCACGAGTGCGCGGCCTCAGCTCTAACGAGGCTGCGACGTACGTGAGGCGCCTTAGCACGGTATCGTGCACGGTAAGTCTGGGCCGCAAGCTTGGGGGGTAAACTGCCGTTCGCGCTCAAATCCAACCGTTAGTCGTTGGAATTGGCATATTTAACCGTTTTATCTGTTCTTATGCAGGGTCTCCACTTCCGCAGGCTTTCTGTTTGAAAGTTGCACGAGTGCGCGGCCTCAGCTCTAACGGGGCTGCGACGTACGTGAGGCGCCTTAGCACGGTATCGTGCACGGTAAGTCTGGGCCGCAAGCTTGGGGGGTAAACTGCCGTTCGCGCTCAAATCCAACCGTTAGTCGTTGGAATTGGCATATTTAACCGTTTTATCTGTTCTTATGCAGGGTCTCCACTTCCGCAGGCTTTCTGTTTGAAAGTTGCACGAGTGCGCGGCCTCAGCTCTAACGAGGCTGCGACGTACGTGAGGCGCCTTAGCACGGTATCGTGCACGGTAAGTCTGGGCCGCAAGCTTGGGGGGTAAACTGCCGTTCGCGCTCAAATCCAACCGTTAGTCGTTGGAATTGGCATATTTAACCGTTTTATCTGTTCTTATGCAGGGTCTCCAGTCCGCATTGTGGAGCCCGCGCCAATAGCCAAGCTGTGTTTGTCAGATGTTGGTCAGTGGCACAAGAGGAGGCTTCATTATGGCAGGCTTGCCAACTGTTTGCTTTTGCCATGTATTTGGGTTTTGTGTTTCACATGGCTGTTGGCCATTTGAACGATACCCGCTTATTGGTCGGATAGGTTCATGACTTGATTGAGGAGGCGGGGACTTCCTGCAGAGCATTTGCACAATGGGTCATATCGCGGGTAGGGAGGACTTTCGTTTGTGTGTGTGTGAGCAGCGCCTCGGCAAGTGGCAAGTTTGCTTGGCTTATGCAGACATTGTCATTAGTGCAACTCATGCATCAGGATGCTGCTGTCTTTGCTGCTCTAATTGCCGAGCCTCGTCAATCTTGTAACACAAGGACGAATTTCTGCACTCATCCCTTCGACTCGCACACTTTGCACTTCCGGATTCGAGCAGCTTCAGTGTTTGACTGGTCCGCGCTTCACTTGGGATCCGTTTCCCTTCTCTCTGATCAGCTATGTGCCCCAAATTTAGTTTTACTCTGCACAGCTTTCTGCCTACCAGCTGTGCCGAACATTACGTTTTCATTCATCCGCCTCCTGCTCGTGCTAGTGAGAGTATCTGTTGCACTGCACTTGAACTGCATCTTGAGCATCGCACCGCATTCAACATCAGGTGGTTTTCATACGTACCATGCTGTTCGATGTTGCTGCTGCGCTAGGGAAGCGACGCTCTGCTGGGGTAACTGGTCCTGTCGAGTTCTGGTACGACCCTCCGGTATCTGCTCCTGATGCTGACATCGCTCCCTCCTTCGCCTTTCTCCGTTTCTAAGGGTTTGACTATGAGGTTTCGATGTAAAGAGTGCCAGTCCGATGCCTCCATTCTCATCATTAGTAAATCGTTTTAGTGTGGTTACATGGTGGATCATCATCGTCCTCCCTCGTCGATTGAGCATGAAGCGCCTTAAAGCAACATGCCGGGCCTCCCAGACTTCCGAGCGGAACCTGGCTAGTGCGCCAGGGGTGGGGCCTCGGTCATAATCATGCGCTTGAAACGCGAGGTCACGTTCGTACTTTGCCCGTGTGCTATTGTACGCCGGGCATTCCACAAAAACATGCATTTCGTCTTCAACCGCCCCGCAGTCGCGAAGCCTGCAGGCGCGCACTGTTTACCTCTAATTCCCAACAGCCTAACCAGAAACGCAGCTGGATGCAAACGTTGGGCGATTTCAGCCTGGGCCAGCCACTTATGCCGCGCGCCCCTAAGTGGGGCCGCCCCTATCCAGTTCAGATAGCGACACGCCTTGACACCGGTACTTCCACTTTGGAAGGTGCATGGATTACCTAGGGTACCCGGGCACTCCCACCGGGCGTCTAGACGCATAGCGAACTCTTCAAGTATGCTGCTTCCCACTGGCAACCTAACGGTAGCGTAATGCGCTATGAGGTCGTCACCACGCAGACCGACGAAGAGGCCGCCACTACTTGTACGGCATAATGTCGTCCTCGAGGCTGTCTCAACAGATGGTGAGTGTACGGATCGCTGCGGGCCTGACGGAGCCGACGGGGGTAAACGCTCCGCCGCCCTGGAAAGGGCGGCAGCGGCGGCGGGAGTTGTCAGCAGCGGCGGGGGATGCGGTGTTGCCGTGCCGTGTTGGCGGCATTCCTTTGCTCCCCCGTCGCCCTCGCGATCCCCCTGGAAAGCCCACGGCCATGCTGACGGTCTCCCAGGTCGGGGGGACTCTGACGACGCCACCGTCGCCGCTGTCGCTGCCGACGGCGACGGGATCAGCGACGGGATCGGCGACGATGTCGTACTCACGGCGACCATTGTGGCGCGAAATGGCGATTCCGGGTCCCCGGTTGAGGTGGTGGAGATGTACGGCAGCGCCGCCGAACGATTGATGTCAGCGGCGGATATGGGTGTTCACACGCCGGTGAAGTTATCGTACTGCAAATGTACGGCTGGTGGCGCCGTTGCTGTTGTGTTGTCGGTGTCTGACCCAGCCCCGGCAGCAACCTGCTGTGTGAATGTTAGGATTTTAGGGTTTTAGGGACTTGTGGCTTTATAGGTTTTAGGGTTAAGAGTGAGGAAAGAAACGTCCTGAAGGAGAATGAATTTCACTAAGGCTGTGCAAGATGAACTTCCATGTCGTAATCAACGATTCTAACTGCCATTACTATCACGTGGCCGTTACCCCTAACGGCTCTTACCACAACGGCCATGGACGAGCGCCTCCGGGAACACAAGGACCTAGGTTCGCCGAACGTGAACTCGGGTCTGGGTAACGCAGCCTCCGCGCCAGCAGCCGCCGCCGCAGCAGCTCGTCCCATGCGCCTATCTGCCGTACGGCCGACGGGAGCGCCGCTGTTTACTTCCATGGTTTCGGCGCCACCCTCGATGCCGGCGGCGGCAGCGGCGGGTGCCGCCATCGGGAAACGATCCCGTATGGGAAAACCCGGAATCCCACCCCGCTGGCGCTGTGCGTAAGGCCCACGACAGCGTCCTATTACCCAGAGTGCCACTGCCAACGCCACCGCCGCCGTCGCTGCCGCCTGCACTGACACCGCTACTGCCGCCGACGACAATGGCGCTTCTTGCACCACCTCCCCTGAGCCCCATCTCTCGACCGTACGGCACATAAACAGGGGCGCAGACATCGTACCCGCTGCCGGTGCTGGGAATCTGCGGTACGGCATCAGCATCCGGCTGTGACACCGTCTGTCGTTCGTCGCGATGTGATACTGTCGCCGCCAAAGCCGCTTACGTTTGCTGGGTGCGCAAGGCCTTCGACAAGCCCCCGGGGTGGAGCTTCAACCTGCGTCGCGACCGGTGCGTACGGCAGCTGGTTCGTTGGTCTGGCTGCCGCCGCCATTACCGCCGCACCTACCGGCGCCAGGCCCGATGGTGGCGGCGGCGGCGGCGGCGGCGGCTCCGCGATGTCTGAGGGCCGCTGCGGCACCCGATTGACGCCGCATCCGTCCCGTACATCGCCGCTCGCTGTAACGCCTTCCGCCGCAGCGTCTGTCGGCGGTGCTAGCTGTACGGGAGTTGGCGGCGGCGGTGGCGGCGACTGCGTGGCGACGGCGGCGGCAGGTGGGGCGGCGGTAGTAGTGGACGAGATCGACGACATTGACGTCAGCAACTGCCTGTGAGATCCGCCGCCGCCGCCGCCGCCGCTCCCGCCGCCGCCGCCGCCCGACAAGGCAGGCGGGTGTTGGGCCCTGGCGGCGCCGTGAGGACTTGGATGGCAGCTTGGAAGCGACCTCACGGTTTGTGAGAAGGCGGAGAGGGTGGAGACGGCCGCACCCGACCACATGCTGAAAGGAGCTGGGGGTGAGGGGGAGAGGGAGGGGGGGAAGACGAGCAAAGGAATGCACAACACCGCACAACACCGCGCCACAACATTAGGCTTCGACACGACAAGACTTCTTCATCTGACGACCTTATGACGACCCTAAGACTTCTTGGCGCTGTCCATCGCATTGATTGATGTCAGGGTGGGTTGGATGTTTAGGGAAATGTCCAAACTGATGCTGTTGCCCTGTCACGATAATCTACAAGTTACTAAGCTCGTCCAATCCGTGAGCACTAGAGTACGACACCTCAAAACACTAACCTCGTTGGCCGCCTCCTTCCGCTCCCGGCCCCAGGCATAAGGAATTCCGGTTGCTACTGCCGTCCCCACCGCCGCCGCTTGCGCCGCCGCCGCCGCCGCCGCCTGCGCCGCCTGCGCCGCCGCCGCTGCTGCCTACCATGCCACCACCCGCTGGCGGGCCCCTGGGGAAAGGCGACGGCAGCGCCGCCGCCTCCCTGCTACTGCTGCAGCCGCCGTCTGGCCTCCTGCTGCTGCCGCCGCTACTGGCACCGGCTGTAGTGCTTCTGCGGAGGACGGAGGCGCTTTGCGGGACGGCGACGGCGGCGGCGACGGCTGTAGCTGTGGCAGTATCTGTGGCTGTGCCTGAACATGAGCCTGCTGGGCCTGAGTTGCGCGGCCCTGGGGTGTCGGCGGCTGGCTTGGCGGCCCCGGCTGTAGCTGTGGAGTGGCCGACTGGTGGTACGGCAGCTGGCTACGGGGAGCTACCGCCGGGGTGCGGTGGTGGCGAGGACCCGGGCGGCCCGACGACATCAATAGGGTTGGGCGCCCTTTAGAAACTTAAAAATAATATATTCTAATTCTAATTAGAATTCTAAGCTATAATTTAGAAAGGCCTGCTTAGAAGGGTTTATAATATTCTAATGCCGTACACCCATTAGAGCGTGCCAAAAGTTGTCTTTTCCGACCGCAAATGTTTGAGGTGAAAGATGGCAGATTCGGGCCCAGGACCTTCCAAACCTCCTATTCCAACGCCCACAAGCGCCCTCATACATCCCAGTATGGCAAGCAGACACTGGATGCCTGGATGGCTTACTACGAAGCGTTCAGAGGTGCCAACGCTCCGAGGCAGTTGACTGTTTGACTTCAGGTTTGAATTGACTCTTCAGAATTGACTCTTCAGACCTTTTCGCAAGGGCGCAAGGGCTACGTAAACCGGTTGTAGGGTTCGGGAACGCGAGAGTGTGCAGGGTTTTGTTGACTTTTGATGATGAGTATCACAGACGTTTTCTGGCCGAATTGAAGGGGGGATGCCGGGGTTGGGTCCTCCAGAGTGCCAGACCTCCAGTGTACAAAAACCCCGGAAATATCCAAATAAAGCATACCCAGCCGTCCCAAGGGTCCAAAAATAATTTAAATCAGAACTCCCAGCGAAAAGTTGACCCCCTTGTTCTAAGTTTATTCCTAAACTCTAATTGGAATTCTAATTAGAATTAGTATAGAACCCCTGCCATTCTAAACTTTTGCCCTACCATAGACATCAACAACGGCGTCGGGCTCACTGCGCGATCAGCGCGGCGCTCGGGAGTGGAGCTCGTACTCACCGAGCTGGCGGCGGCGGCGATCTGACTTGGCTGCGGCCGACGGCACGGAAAGGCGACATGAAGTCGTCGCGTGACGGCGACCCGCGGAATGGAGAAGCAGAGCGTGGCGGCGGCGGCGGCGGCGACGGCGGTGGCGGCTGCCGCTGCTCCGCCGCCGGCGTCCTTGGCCCATAGGCAGCGGCGGTAGAAGCCGTATGGCTTGGTGAGCCCCGCAGCCCTTTCATACCCGATCGGAGCTCAACGGCCATGTGCGCTACTGCCGCCGCCGCCGCCGCCGCCACAGCCGCTTCGGCATTTCCTGGCTCACTGACCCCTGGGTCACCTGGCGTGGAACTCCAGGAGAGAGTCGAGACAACGGACGACACACGCGACGCAAATTGGGGAACCGTGACATTGGCGGCGGCTCCGCTGCCGCCGCCGCCGCCGCCGCCGCTGCCGGATCGCGTCTGTTGCGGTGTCGTCTGATGCCGCTGCTGCTGAGACGCCAGCGGCGGCGGCGGTGGTGGCGGCGCGTCGCCTGCCTCCTCTCCCTCTCCCTCTCCGTCTTCCTCCACGACAGGGCATACCAGCCGGCCTCGCATACTGCCAACGCCGGAGCCGTACGTTCCCAACATCGAGTACGGCATAGGGATTTCCGACACTGGCGGCAGCTTGGACCCCTCCGCCGAGTCGCCACTGCCGCCAAGGACGATCATGCCGCTGGCGAAAGCCCCCTCGCTGAAGCTGCCGCCGCTGGCCAAGCCGCCGCCGCCGCCGCCGCTGCCGTAACTACCGAAATCCCCTCTGGGCCGCATGGGTGACGGCAACCGGGCTGACATTGATCCACGTAGGACGTACGGCGACGCAATGCCGTTGCCGCTGATGCGACCCGCGCTTCCCGCGATGACGGTTGACAGCACGCGAGCGCCGGAGTTGCCGCAGCCGCTGCCGCCAGCACTGCCGCCGCGCGCATCTGCGCCCTAAGGGTCGCTGGTGCCGTCTGCGCGGGGCGGCTGCTGCGATCAGGTGCCGTACGAAGCCCCATGGCTGCCGCCATGGTGCCGTACTTCTCCCGGAACTTGTTACCTTTGCCAGCGTCGCCCAACGACCTGCCTGACTGGTTGCCGCTGCGGAACGCACTGGCGGGTGTTGTGGGAGCCGTGGCGGCGGCTGAGGCAGTGGCGGCGGCGGCGGCGGCGGCGGCGGCCCCGCCGCCGGCGGGAGCTTCAGCACTCGGCTCCACTTCCTCTTCGGCGCCGCCACTGCCTCAGTCGCCTTCATCATCTCCGTCGCCTCCGTCGCCGCCGCCAAGGGTAATGCCCTTCTCCGAGCCTTCGCCTCCGCCGCCTCGCGCCTCCGCTGCCGCTGCGGCCTCCGTGCCCAGATCCTGGCGGAGGCGGGGTCGAAGTCCAGGAGACACCCTCTCTGGCTCGGCTTCCCGGACATCACGGCATCCCGCTCCGATACCATCCTTTCCATCACGCAGCCATTGAGACGGCTGCCGCCACCACCCTGTAGCGCCCCAGTAGCGCGATCAGCGGCGGAAGGCGCCGCCGCAGTGACTACACGGGTGCCGCCGTACAGTGAGGACGTGCCGTCGCCGCCAGCTGTGAGCCTTTTCGGCGACTTGGCGACTTCTCCAGCGACGGCAACAGCAGCGGTGTCGTACGACTGCCGGATACGCCAGGCCGCCCTCCTCCCCCTCCTGGGGCAGCGGGTTCGACCTGTGATGGCGGTGGCTGCTGCTGCGGCGGCGGCGGCGGCGACGGCGACGGCAGCTGCGGCGACGGCGACGGCGGCGGCTGCGGCGAGCCACTTCGCTACTGTGGTTGCACAGGAATCACCGTCGCGCGCGCGGGGGCCAGGCGGCTGCCAGCTGTAGCAGCACCCGGTAGCCGCTCTCCGCCGCCCCCACCGCCGCCAGTACCTCCCGACAGGTACGCCGCGAACGCCGCCGCCACCTCCGCCTGCCTCTGCTGCTGCTGCTGCTGCGTCGGCGTCGGCGTCGGCGTCGGCGTCGGCGTCGACATCGACCTTTCCTGACCCCACGTCCCGGCTTGCAGCTGCGGCCTCAGCCCTGTAGATCCGCCGTACATGTTTTGCAACGTGGATACGGCAGATTCAGATCCGTACGACTCGGATAGCTGTTGAGTCAACATCTGCTGCTGCTCCGGCCGCTGCTGCTGCGGAACGCTGTTTCGCGACGGTGGCGGCGGCTTCACCGGCGGTGGTGGCTGTAGCCAGGATGTGGCGCTGAGCGAGCCGTCGCCTGTGTGCGCCAGCGCCGCCGCCAGGCTGGCCCGCGACGGCGGCGGCGGCGGCGGCGGCGGCTGTTGCGACTGTAGCCCGTAATTCACTCCAGATGACGGCACATTGGTGCCAATGGTGACGACTACAGCCGAGGTTGCGGCGGACGACGCTACAGAGGAAGACACGAGCGTGTTGGGCTGTAGCAGAAACGACCCGCGGGTCCGTTCCTGCTGTTGTGGAAGCTGTAGCTGCGACTGAGAATCGAATTGCGAAACGGACTGCGAGCAGCGTGATCGAAGCTTGGCCTGTCGCAGCGCCGCTCTCAGCGCCGGTGACAAACCATCATCCCCTCCCCCTCCCCCTCCCCCCGACTACCCCCACCCCCCAGCCCCACCTACTGGCCCCCCACACACCCCGCAGCAATCGACCACCTCCCTCCCAGCCCCCACCTGCCGTATCGTGTTATCGTCCGCGTGTGCTGTAAACCCCGCGATGCCCTCTGCGACGGCGGCGGTGCCGCCAGTAGCGGCACCGCCGGCGGAGCTGTAGCTGACCTGTGCATTGCCGACGGAGCCGGATCTTGGCGTGGACGAA